AGTAGTAGAAAATGTGAGTGTCCGTTTAAGGTTCGTGGTTACATGTTGGCAAACAAAAATTGGAGATTTAATATGATATGTGGTTTTCATAACCATCATTTGTGTTTAAAATTAGTCGGTCATCCTAGTGTATGCCGGCTCAAGCCGGAATTGAAGGAATGTATTAGTGGCATGACCTTGAATCTTGTTCAACCGAAAAATATTCTTGCAACATTGAAACGGAAGCAACCCGACAATATATCAAATATCAAGCAAGTGTATAATATTCAATACCTCACTAATAAGGTGATTAAGAGGGATAGAACTGAGATGTAAAAACTCTTGAAACTGTTGGATGATTACAGTTACGCGTCCCAGTATCGAACGTGCGATGGTGGAGTTATGATAGAATGTGTATTGACCTGAGACACTACGATTTTTCATAAACCTTTTCCCCACTACGCACCGCCCCACCCCAAGATCTAAATGATCGTATCATGTGTATTGGATGACTTTCAAAATCAAGTCATTTTATTCAAGTTTACTTGAAATCAGAATGCCTCATACCACTTACATCACCAGAGTGGACGGCTTATTCAACTGCAAAAGCCTAGACGTGGTCGAATCATTTTATGGAAAGGATGCAAAAATTTGAGAGATTGAATAACATTGAAAAAGAATCGAATGTACAAAAGTCCAAGTACCACATATAGATTTAGCCGGTGACATATGTTTCAATTTATTTTGATTTCTTGTTATACTGGACAAATAATTGTATGTAATTGTGTATCAATATAAATGAAGTGTTATATATTCACTTTTTCTTCATATTTTGTCTTTATGTTGTTTTTATATTTCCCATTACAACATTTATGTTTTTGCAATTGGAAAATAAATGGTCGTGGTTCTAGTTTAGGAGAAGTTCTAGAGATGCATCTCTGAAACAAGATAATAGGGTGCGTTTCCGGAGATATATCTTCAGAATCAATGTGCTAGTTAATGAGTGGTGCAAATTGATCAATGGCTTCCATAAATTTAGGCACTCTAATGTTATATTTCACACAAACTCAAAATGTCTCAAATGTCTCCTTCTCCAACTCTACATCCGGGGTAACGTTCAAGCTCACCGACTTCACCTCCCTCGAAGATATCAAAGACGAAATCCATTATCTCTTACGGAGACAATCGAAAGATTGTGAAGCTCGAGTACCTTTCACCTTCGATTGACAACGTAGGAAAAATTCAATTCACTAAGTTTGAGCTCAAGACGCAAGCGGATGTTAGGGCTACGTGGGATACGTTTTTCGATTTCGGAGAGAAAGTTCCGCTCAATTTGGAAGCGACGATACAAAGATTGGTCGAAGATATCCTGAAGATGTGCAAGCGTCCATCGGGATATTGAAATGTAATATTGAATTTTATGTTGAAATTATCATTGTAATGATCATTTTATATTATGAATGTCAATTTCATTTTAGATCTTTTAAATTTGTTTCTGGTGTGAGTCCGAAGATGTAACTACGGAGTGAATCTTGAGATGCATCTCCGGAATAAATTAAACCAAAAATAAAGGTGTAGTTCAGAATGACCTTTGTTGAGTGAGTGTTGGGTGCGTCTAGATATGTAAATATGGAATGAATTCGGAGATGCATCTCCAGAATAAATTTAACAAAAAAAAACGTAGTTTAAAATAACATTTGTTAAGTGTGTGTTAGGTATGCCCAAAGATGTATTTCTAAAACCAAAAGAGATATATAGAAATTCACACAGTTCATTAGAAACACCTAAAATACAATAAGAAATTTTATAAAATAAAATAAAATTAATACCTACACTATACTTCAGTAAAATAAACCTTTTTTCCACTACGCACCGCCCCACCTCAGAATCCAAATGATCATATCATGTGTATTGGATGACTTTCAAAATTAAGTCATTTTGTTCAAGTTTACTTGAAATCAGAATGCCCCATACCACTTACATCACCAGAGTGGACGGCTTATTCAACCGCAAAAGCCTAGACGTGGTCGAATCATTTTATGGAAAGGATGCAAGAATTCGAGAGATTGAACAACATTAAAAAAGAATCGAATGTACAAAAGTCCAAGTACCACATATAGATTTAGTCGGTGACATGTGTTTCGGTTCATTTTGATTTCTTGTTTAACTGAACAAATAATTGTATGTAATTGTGTATCAATATAAATGAAGTGTTATATATTCATCTTTTCTTCATACTTTGTCTTTATGTTGTTTTTATATTCCCCATTAAAACATTTATATTTTTGCAATTGGAAAATAAATGGTCCTATCATAGTTTTGGTGTGGTTCTGGTTTAGGAGAAGTTCCAGAGATGCATCTCCGGAACAAGATAATAGGGTGCGTTTCCGGAGATATATTTTCAGAATCAATGTGCTAGTTAATGAGTGGTGCAAATTGATCAATGACTTCCATAAATTTAAGCACTCTAATGCTATATTTCACACAAACTCGAAATGTCTCAAATGTCACAAATAAAAATCTTTTGGTATGTCGTAAATGTCTCCTTCTCCGACTCTACAACCGGGATAACGTTCAAGCTCACCGACTTCACCTCCCTCGAAGATATCAAAGACGAAATCCATTATCTCATACCTTACGGAGACAATCGAAAGATTGTGAAGCTCGAGTACCTTTCACCTTCGATTGACAACGGAGGGAAAATTCAGTTCACTAAGTTTGAGCTCAAGACACAAGCGGATGTTAGGGCTATGCGAGATACATTTTTCGATTTCGAAGAGAAAGTTTTGCTCAATTTGGAAGCGATGATGCAAAGATCAGTTGAAGATATCCTGAAGATGTGCAAGCGTCAATCAGGATATTGAAATGTAATATTGAATTTTCTGTTGAAATCATCAGTGTAATGTTCGTTTTATGTTATGAGTGTCAATTTCATTTTAGATCTTTTGAATTTATTTCTGGTGTGAATCCGAAGATGTAACTACAGAGTAAATCTTGAAATGCATCTCCGGAATAAATTAAACCAAAAGAAAAAGCGTAGTTTAGAATGACCTTTGTTGAGTGGGTGTTTGGTGCATCAGGATATGTAAATATGGAATGATTCGGAGATGCATCTCCGAAATAAATTTAACCAAAAACAAAACGTAGTTTAGAATGACCTTTGTTGAGTGTGTGTTAGATATGTCCAAAGATGTATTTCTAAAATTAAAAAACATATATAAAAATTTACACCGTTCATTAGAAACACCTAAAATACAATAAAAAATTCTATAAAATAAAATAAAATTAATACCTACACTATACTTTGTCTCTAACTTAGTCAAGCCATCAAGCACATCTATTTGCCTAAAAAGAAAAAAGCATGAGTAATACGAAATTCCATAGCTTAACTAAGCTCCTTTAAATTTGTTGTAGTATGCTGAATCCTATGCCCACATTATAATTCTCCTTGGTAATGACATCATAAACCTCTTTTGAATTAGTCTAATATTCACTTTCCTAATCCTTTGATGTGAATTAGACAAATTAGACAAATATTTTTTATTTAGTGAAAGAGTGTACAAATTAGACAAATAATCTAATCAACTTTCACAAGTCCCCTTCATTATGAAATCATATTATCATTGGTTTAGCAATAATTGATAACTATGACAGATTAGCTACACAACCTAAAATCCTCGCTGTATCTTTAAGCAGAAGAGTAAGTGTAATTAATTAGAAATTAAAAGAAATCACTATTGAAACTTAAAAGTAGGAACCGTCCTAAAAGTGCTTATGTCACATACTTGTATTCTACACATACCATCCTTACTCTTTAGTCCTTAACAGAATCATATACTTAATCACATGCCACTTATGTCCTTTTCTTTTCTTGTTGGAGTATTATTACTCACAAAACATTTAAATAAAAAAATCAAAAAAATTACTTAATTAAAGCTACCAGAATCTCTAATCACTCCATTTTAATTAAAGGATGACATGCTTCTAACGTGCAATCTTTGCTTTAATGGGTTTGTGTAAATTGATATCTTTTGTATGTTTGGCCTAAATAATCTTCTAACCAAAGAAAGAGTGAAACGGATTGAAAACGTTAACACTTAAACAACAACCTTTCCTTCTTAATTTAATGCTTTTAAATTTTAAACCATTAATTTAATTATCTGTTAGCATTACCACCTAAAACCGAATTTTAGTTAATTAATCTACATCTAGCTAGTACGCAATTAATCTTGGCCACTCGCATAGTTATGATTATCATTAATCAAAAATATACACTCACAATCGACATGTTCCAACTCATTCAATTCCAAACATGTTTAATCATTGATGAATCATACTCACTGTGCTATTCACGAACTCACTAAAAATAATAAAATTAATTAATTAAAAAATTAAAGTTAAATTAAAGTAGTAAATTAAAGTTAAATTAAAGTAGTAGTATTTAGGAGTGTCCATGAGTGGCTGCTGACCTACGAATTTATTCAACTCAACCCATAATAATTCATATAATTTTGATTCGAATATTAAGTTTGAGTTTTACAACTTACGAATTTGTTGATTCAATTTATTGATGTGAGATTAATAATTTTTTATTTTTTATTATTAACTTAAATAAAAATATAAAATTAATATCAAATTCAATTCATGTAAACCCTTAGTAGTACCAAGAAAGAAAAGCAATAAAACAGAAAGAGAAGCAAAAAAAGTGTAAAGTGTGGCTATGATGGACGCGTGAGCCCAGTCGCTAGAAAAGCGCGTGAATAAAGGGAAAGAACTTTAATTTCTTGGCAGTAACACTTCTAAGGTTGGAAAAAAAGCAAGGAAGATTTTTGGGTGGCTGACTCGTAACAAAACCATTACATTCATTCACTACCATTATATATAAATACATAATAATCTGTTCACACTTCACACACTCTTTCTTCATATTCATTTATAAATCACACACTTGTGTTTGTCTCTTTCTCTCTATTCTCTACTACCTTATTGTTCTACCTTTTTTTCTTCATTTGAATTTGTTTATGATGATGTCTAAAATGGATATGGAAGGAAGTATAGGCACTAAGGAACATCTAGCCAAAGGAAAGCGAACGAAACGAGGGATAAGGATGTTGTCTCCTTGCACCGTGGCGAATACCACGGTGACATCAAGTTGCTCGAGTGCTACTGGAGGTGGTGGAAGATCGTTTTCTTCCACCAGCTTCGATAGCACTGAGGAGAAAGAGGAAGCTGATATGGCTAATTGTTTGATTCTCTTAGCTCAAGGAAGAACAGGAGGACAAGGTTGTCAAAACCACCATCAACAAGTTGGTGGCTATAACAATATAGTAACGGAAAAGGCAACAAGAAACGGTTTTGAAAGCTATGAGTGCAAAACTTGTAACCGTTTTTTCCATTCATTTCAAGCGTTGGGTGGACACAGAGCAAGTCACAAGAAACCAAAGATGAAAGAACTCATTTCCGCAGGTGAATTCGAAGAAGAAAATAATCATATTCATAACAAGAATGTTTCTACTATTAGTCCTCTTGTTCCTCCTCATGTTTCTCTTGAATTAAGGTGTGGTGGTAGTTTAAATTTCCATGGCCATGGAAACAATAACAAACTCAATAGATCCAACAAGGTTCATGAGTGTTCGATTTGCGGCGCGGAATTTACATCCGGTCAAGCATTGGGTGGTCACATGAGAAGACACAGAGCGTGTAGTAACAAAAACAACAACAACAACGTTGGTGATGTTCATGTGAAGACTCGAAACGTTCTAGAATTGGATCTTAATCTTCCAGCACCGGAGGAGGATCTCCGGGATTCAAGTTTTCAGTTTCCGGCAATGGTGGGTTGCCATTATTAGGCCAGCTTGGATGGATTGGATGAATGGTGAAGGAAGATTATATTTTTATTTGATTTGATCAATTATGATCATTGTGAATTAATTATTATTACTAGTATTATTAGCTTTATGTTAATTTACAATTATTCGAAATTATGAATTCATTCCATTTATATGAATAATATATTTTTTTTTATTCTATTTTGATTATCTACTTGTTGAAGTTTTGGAATACTTTGAGTAAGTAAGTGGTTACTTGGTTAGTGTTGCCTTTCATTCACGAAAAGTTAGTCACATATTATGGAGTATCTTTATTTATTTACTTATTTTTCTTTTAATATTTTTTGTTTATATATATATTAGTTCTTGTTTGATTGTTTCTTTTGTGTGAGATTGAAGAAATGGATGAGATAAAGGATGGACATGATTAGGGTTTGGTTGCACCACCACCACAATCAAAAGCCATAGGAATACGCATCCTTTTTGTGGCTTTCTAATATATCACTATTATTTTAATAAAGCTTAAAAAATCTCTTTCTCTTTAGCTTTCTCATTCTCTTACTCACTCTACTACCACACTCACATACTTTGTTTCTTTAATATTTATTATTTGGAAATTGATTAGTTTGATTTTTAAAATAAAATAAGAAACTGGTTTGGAAAATGTCATGGCTTAAGCTGATGTATATCTATATATCCTAACTATTAGTTATAATATATATCCACTACTAAGCTATTTATGAGTATAATATATTTTGGCCCACTCCACCACCATATATTTATAGGGAGTTGTTTAGTATAACTAATAAGCACATCCATCCGTTACACCTAATTAACCAAATGTTGTCACATTTAAAAAATATAAAACAAAATTAGAGACAACTTTTGATAACAAAATCATAAAGTCTATTTCTAAATTCTAATTCCTCATTAAATTTAATAATAAATAATTTAGATAAAAATGTTCTCTTTTCCCCTCTAATTTTGGTTTTTTAGTAGGGTATTATCTTGTCAAAATAGATATTTTGTAGAGATATTTAAAAATAAAAATAAAAGTACATGATATATATATATATATATATATATATATATATATATATATATATATATATATATATATATATATATATATATATATATATATATATATATATATATATATATATATATATATATATATATATAATGTAAATTGTAACTTTGGGATTATCTATTAGTGAAAGTTGCAAGCCCATACAAAATTGATGCTCCCAAGAAAGATACTGATGAGTTGCAGACCACAAACATTTGATTATTTATAGAAGCTTTACTATGGTCCACTATTTGCATTGGACCCATCAACCATACTCTTTATCTCACTTTCTAGTTTCTAGTTATTAGCTTCACTCTTATTTATGTTGTTCACAAAATGAAGATCAGAAAAAGACATCACACATGAAAACATTTCCATTTTTTCTCTTCCATTAAAAACAAACAAATTGAGACTAACAAAACAAAAATGATACTGGTTTGTCTTAACTAAAGATAAGGGCATATGTGTCAAAATCTAAAATTTAAATGACTTATACACTAGTATTGATTTCTGCTACATTTATACTTCTTCTCATATGTGGAGCTATTTAGAATCGTAAATATGAGCATATATGTCATCTAACATGCGTGCCTTTCTTCTGTAATGATATCCTTTATGAAGTAGTCTTGTCCTCCTACATAAGGTCCATTATAATCATTAATCTCCTGTAAATCAATTGTAGTAAAATTTAAGTATTTTTTTTATAGATCTAAGATTCTTACTCTTCACTTTTTACTCGAGTAAATCAACCACACTTTAATTGCAAGATAATTTTTTTTTGAAAAGAAAGAATATTTTAAAAAAGTAATAATTTTTTAAGAGAGATGAAGAATGTATGAAAGTGAAAAGGAGAATGTTATTGACCAATTTATCAAAAACTCTTTCTCTGAAACTTCATATGTGTATTTACATTATTCTACAAACACAAGGTGTCTTTTTATTTGTAATGAGATTACTTGAACATCAAACAATCTGACAAAATTCGACAAGTTGTATTCGACTTTGTCGACTACACACAACTTTGACTACTATAAGTTGTATTCAACTTTCTATCGAATTCATGTAGATTCGACTACAACAGACTATATTCGACTCATCAAATACATACACTTCGACTCTGTTGAATTCTGCCTTTACAAATATGCTTAACACAAAGAATTACATAATTAACACACCACCTAATTCATTGTGTCTAGGGTGTCTACATTCATCATAGTTCTCAATCTCTTGAACAATTCCACCTGCACAGTCTTTTTCATGATGTCTGCAATCTGGCTCTCAGTTTTGCAGTGTTCCAAGTTCACCTTCCTATTTGTACTTGCTCTTTAGTGAAATCTCATCTCTATGTCTTTGCTTCTTCCATGTGCTCTCAGATTCTTGACCAAATTGATAGTAGACGTGTTATCAATCTTCATGATCATTGCTCCATGATTTTCACATGCAATCTCCTCAATCAGATTCATCATCCATGTTTCTTGACATGCATAAAGAAAGGAAGTTGTGCACTCAGCCTCACATGATGACAAAGCTACAACTGGTTCTTTTCTCGAGCTCCAAGCATTTGGTGCACCACCTAGCATAAACACATAACCAATTATGAATTTTCTATCCCGAACATCACCACACCAACTTGAGTCAGTGTATCCCATTAGTTTGTATTCCTTTCCTTTATCTACTGTAGAAAAATAAATTCCATAATCTAGTATTCCTTTGAGGTACCTTATTATCCTCTTGGTGGCTACAAGATGGGATGCCTTTGACTTTTGCATGAAACTACTCACCATGTCTACATTATACGTTAGATCAGACCTTGTGTGATAGAGGTATCACAATTATCCAATGATTTTTCTCTATTGTGTTGGATCAATATCATCTTTATTTGAATCCTTCATTAACTGCAGTCTTGGTTCAGTTGGTGTCGAAGTTGCATTGCAATCCTCCATCTCAAATATTCTGAGTATCTCACTTGCATATATCCTTTGGTGCATCATTAGTCCTCTATTACTCTTGTATAATTCAATACCAAGAAAATATGAGATGTTGTCCTGGTCAAACATTTCAAACTCCTTGCTCAAGTTCCATTTGAAGTCTTCAATCTCTTTTATGCAACCTGTATACCTTACTTTTTTGGCCTAGCTTCACAAAACCAACTGGTTTTGCTGCATAAACTTTTTCATCTAAGGGGTTATTCATAAATGCACATTTCACATCCATTTGAAACATATACCATTTGTTTATGATTGATAGGACAACAACCAACCTGATTGTTTCGATCCTAGCAATTTGTTCAAAAGTTTCATCAAAGTCGATTCCTTTTTTGTGAAGAAATCCTTTGGCTACAAGTCTTTATTTGTGTCTGGTTATTTCTCCTTTTGGATTCAACTTCACTTTATACATCTATTTCATATAAATTTCCTTCTTATTTTGTGGCAATTCGATTAGTGACCAGGTTTTGTTGACCTTTATGGATTTCAGTTTCTCCACCATGGCTTGCATCCACTTTGAGTTCTTCAATGCCTCACCTACATTGAAGGGATCAATATCTTCATAAAAATCATAGTGTACCAGGTCACATTCTTCATTTACCACATCATTTGATGTGATCACACATTCTTGTAGCCTTATAGATATGTTTCTTATCCTTTGAGGTCTGCTGGTGCCTGCTACAGTCATTGGCGAATGTAACAAAGTAATGGTCACCTCTAATTTAATTTACTTGAAGAAGACTACACACATATGAGTATATAACCTCATGGGTGTCTTTAAAGTCACTTCTTGAATCTTTGTTGAAGTTGTTCTTGTGTTGCTTTGCCTAAACATATTCTTCACACACTTTGTTTAGAATATGGATTTCTGGTAGACCTGACACCATGTTCCTTCTCTTCAGGCTGTTGATATCTTTGAAGTTGAGATGACCAAGTTTATAGTGTCATAGCCATTCATCTCTTCTAGCTACATTTGATGGACACTTGTGTTCCATAACATTAAGTTCAATCTTGAAGGTTCTATTTTGAGACATAGGTGCCTTCAAGATTAACTTGTCACTTAGGTCGAGTACTCTCCTCTTCTTATCCTTTATAAACACTTTGTAATTCTTCTCAATCAGTTTCCCTATGTTGAGAAAGTTGTTTTTCATGCCTGGGATATACAACGCATTCGAAATCACTGATTATTTGCCATATTTTCTCATGATCAGGACATCACCAATACCTTCAGCAATTAGGATATTTCCATTTGCAAATTTCACCTTGTTTTATTAGATGGATTGATGTTGGCAAATCAATCTCTCCTTCCAGTTATGTGTGATCAGCACCCTAAATTTAAGTACCATTGATCTTTATATTTTTCTTCCTCCTTTGTTGTAACCATCAACAACACTTCTTCTTCTTCTAATTTTACAAGCCTTGCATCATTCTCTTGGTTATTTCTTTTGTTTTCAAGGAAATCACTAGCATAATGACCATTCTTTTGAATATTGTAGCACTGAATATGACTCTTATCAGGTTTCCTTCCATCACCTCTTCCTCTACCTGCATCACCATCTCTATGACTACTTTGGTTTGTGAATTATCTCTGATTCGAAAAGATTTCTTCTTGTTAGTGAATCCTACCATTTGAATTTTTGTAACCTACTTTACCTTTGTTGTTGTTCCATCCTCCTTTGCCTTTCTTTTCTTTTGTTGATTGTGCCTGCAGAGCTACATCACATTTCGTCTTGCTTACAAATCTTTCAATAATTATGTGTTCAAGAAATTAAAGCGTCCCTTGAAGCTCTTCTTTTGTCATGCTTGATAGGTCCTTCGATTCTTCTATTGCTACTATCACATGATCAAATTTTGAAAGTAATGACATCGGGATCTTTGTAACTATCAACCTTGATGTCAACACTTCTCCACGCATCTTGATTTGATTCACCGGTCTTGTTACCCTAGTGAAGAAATCAGCCACA